ATATGTGGAAAATCCTTCTCGAGCGACCAGGTACTGCGGATTCATATGTATAAACATACAGGAGAAACTCCATATAAATGCCCACATTGTGAGAAAGCATTTTCCAATCCATCAATAATGAGTGTGCATCTAGTGACTCACACGGATGAAAGAAATTTTAAGTGTCCATTTGAAGGATGTGACAAACGATTTAAGACTCCAGCTAATGTTTATACGCATAAGAGAAAAAAACATGGTCTCCTGAAAAAGGAACAATATAAAGATACGTGAAAATGATTGAAATTATTATTCCACTTTTTTGGTTCATAACTATAGCATTACATTGATGAAAATAAATAAGAATAAATTATTTGCAAATTTAATTGTCTTTCAATTGTAAATTAAATTGTTTTTCTATAACAAAAATTGATTTTCTTGTTTAAATTACCCTCCTTGAAATGGATATCATTTCACAGTAAACATGTTTACTTTAGTACTTATTATTAATACTTAAAAAAATACTTTACCGACAGTTTTTTATGACAGTTCACTTCAGTTCAGTAATGATAGAAAAAACAAATATTTCTTTGACATTTGAACACAAAACAACTAAACAAATCGAAGAATTGAATTTTTTGAAGAAAAAACAACGTTGAACGGAGATTATCTTGAAAATATGGATGAAATAATAAGAGGTAAATCTATAATTTCATTTAAATATAGAATATTTCAAAACAATTCTATTATTTACAGTTCATCAATGTTTGTTTTGCCCGCAAACATTTGGCAGTGCCAGCGAAAAAGATGATCACATTCTACAGCATTTTGCCCAAGAAACATGCATCGAATGCGACCGAAATTTGATTCGTATCGGTAGTAATTTGTACACTCTACACAATGCCGTAACGTGTATCAAAGTGAACATCAAAACAGAAGACCCAATTTACCAAGAGGACCAACATGAAACCATCGACGAAAAAATAGATGAAAACGATTTTACAGCGGTCACATCTTTGGATTCAATGTTTGCCGTTGAAACAAAACCCGATTTAATTGCTTTGAATGAACAACTTATGCTTGCCGATGAGAATAATTTGGTTGAGAATTCCAAACTTGACTCAATTGATACATCTAAAGCCGCATCTAAATCGAAAAGTAACAATGAAAAGGAATTCAAATGTAATATATGCGGCAAAGTGCTCGCAAGCAACAAATCATTAAAAAATCACAAATCAATCACACATGGTGCGCCTGGTCATTTCCCATGTCACCTTTGTCCGAATGTGACTTTAACGCGAAAGGATTCATTGAGAAAACACATGCAACTGAAACATGATCCAAATTGTGTCAAATTCAGATGTATTTATTGCCCATTGGTGTTTTTGCAAGAAATATCTCTGCAAAAACATCTTTCTAAATGTAAAAGACGACCCGAGAACTTAGAATATGAAGATGATGACACCACTGTTGAAACCGTAGATACTGTTCAAATTAAGGAGGAACACATCGATGATGAGTCTGAGATTACAATTTGCACACAGAGCATGGAGATCGGACCAATAACACAAAATGAAAGCTTGAATGAACCGAACGATCAAGAAAACGTGAATCAACCAGATGGCGACGACAAGAAATGTGACATATGCCTTAAAACATTTTTTGATAAAAACGGAGTTCGACGACACAAAATGCTTGTGCATGGTGAAACATCCGGGACGCATGAGTGTTTGAAATGCAAAATAAAATTCTTCAGCGCAAAAGGTTTGGCCAATCACGAGCTAAAATGTACAAAAGATGTTGCCGAAAGTCTCGAATGTAAAGTCTGCAAAATGGTATTCGCTTAACTTAAAAATTACTTATTAATTATTATTGATTATTTTACAATTATTTTTCGATTAGTTTCCGATTACTTATCGATTATTTTAAATTTCATTCTTTTCTTTTGTGATTCTCCCCTAAGGTATTCGCTATAAAGTCAAGTCTTACAAGACATATGCATTATATACATTTAAAAGTAAAAAAATTTCGTTGTACTACCTGTGGAAGCGTTTCTACTGACAAAGTCACATTTGAAAATCATAAATGTGGAAGAAATATAAAAAACCCAGCCGCAAGTGCGATGAATCGACAAAACACCACCGGTAAATTTGTATGTGATACCTGTGGAAAGAAATTAAGAACGAAACTATCGTTACGACAACATAAAATTCGCTTTCACAGTGCCAAAGGAACACATTTTTGTGCTTGTATGAGAATTTTCAGTACGGCTCAAGCACTTACCGAACACATTGCTGTATGTCAGCTGAAAAATCGACGACGATTTCCAATTATACATATGGGAAAAACTTTCGAATGTCATTTATGCCATAGGGTCATTAAAGAGGTAGACTCACTTCGCAGACACATGAGGCAAATACATTTGCCATGTAAAAAAAGATACGTTTGTAAGACGTGTGGTCAACATTTTTCATTTCCTATTGGACTTCGCAATCACAATGAGTCGGTTCACTTGAAAATTCGCAAATTTTTGTGCACAATATGTGGAAAATCCTTTTTAAGCGAACAAGCATTACGGCCACATATGTATAAACATACAGGTGAAACTCCGTATAAATGTAAATTTCCATTTTGTGAGAAAGCATTTACTAATCCAACAGTACGAGATATGCATATACGGACTCATACAGAAGAAAGAAATTTTAAGTGTCCATTTGAAGGATGCGACAAACGATTTAAGACTCCAGCTAATGTTTATCAGCATAAGAGAAAAAAGCATGGCTATAAGAAAAAGAAAGAACAATTGTAATAACATATGGAAATAATCAGAACTAAGAACGAATTATAAAACAAATTATTTGGTTAATAGTTAAAGTTATCAAAATACATATAAAAATTGGTATCAAAATAAGTTTAATGTCTTTTTTATTATTTTGGATTTATTTGGTATGAATCAATCTTCCCCTTTTTGAAAATATTTCAGAGTAAAAATGTTTACTTTAGTACCTATTACTGATACTCAAGAAAATACTTTACTGATACTTTTGCAGATTATGACAGTTCAATTCAGTTTTGACCACAGTAATTATAAACCACAGATATTTTCGACTTTTGAAAACAAAACAGCTTAAAAAATCGAATAATTAAATTTTTGAAGAAAAAACAACGTCGAACGGAGATTGTCTGGAAAATATGGATGAAATAAGAACAGGTAAATCTATAACTTCGTTTAAAATAGAACATTTCAAAACAATT